TGGGAATGGGGGGGGGCCCCATGGGATGGGGGGTGTGAATGGGAGGGGAGCCATGGGATGGGGTGTGTGTGAATGGGATGGGAGTGTGTGAATGGGGAGGGGACCCATGGGATGGGAGGAGGTCTGGGGAGAGGACCCATGGGATAGCAGGTGGATGGGGAGGGGGTTTGGGGAAGGGACCCATGAGATGGGAGGGGGTATGCGGGTATGGGGATGGGACCCATGAGATGGGAGGGTGGATGGAGAAGGGGATATGAGGAGGAGCACCATGGGATGCGGGGGAATGAGGGGAGGTTATGGGGAGGGGACCCACGGGATGGGGGGATGGCTAGTGGAGGGGGTGTGTGGAAGGAAGCCAGAGGGAGGAGAGCCCATTGGAGTGGGGCAGTGGGTTAAGGGAAGGGGGACCCATATGGGATGGGAGAGTGTCTGTATGGATGTGTGTAGATAGAGGAGGGAATGGAGGAAGAATGAGGTGGGTGTCTGGGGTGGGTGCACTGGCAGTGGAGGGCATGGGGGAAGAAATGGGGCAGGAGGAAGCAGGTTAGCATGGAGTAGTATGAAGTTTTAGGAGCCAGAGACTGTCCAGGGCTGTGAAATGGGGGGAGGGCGCAGTAGACACTGGGCAGAAAGCTGGGTGTCTGTGTGCTAGAAGAGGTTGAGGGACCGTACTGGGCTAGGGGATTGGGCTTTGGGCACTGGAGTAGAGGAGAAGGGGGTTCAGTCTGCCTTTGGGAGTCCGGAAGGAGGCAGGAATGTCAGGGAAGGAAAGGGGGGTTGGGATGGGAAGGGGAGGTGTGGATGGCAGCCGAGGGAATAGCAAGAGTGAAGCAAATCAACACTTGAGTGCTAAGCTCCAAGGAACTGGGAAAGTATCGGCTACGATGTGTGGGTGCTGAGAAAGTGTATTTGCCAGGGTGTGTGGGTGCTGTGGATGTGGGGGAAGGTGTTTCCAGTGGGGATACTGTGGGATTTGGCTGACAGGGGCAGGTGCCGGGCTGGTATGTACAGGCATGCACAGGTGTTTACGAGCAGACCGCTCCAGCCCGAGTGAGTTCTAGGGTTGGTGTGTGGGGACAAATTCTGGCCCCATTGAGGGCTTGTGAGGATGTCCTGGCCACCGTGGGGCTTTGTGGTCTGTGGGAACTGGAGCCTGTGCAGCCTTTCCCGATGTGTTGATCTTGGTTTTGAAAACAAAAATAGTTCTTGGAACTTGCAAAGCAGCTGGCCCCCTTGGCGGGATGACGCCCGGCAATCCGGCAGCCTACCGACGTGCCTCCACACGTCAGCATGTTACGGAATCCCGCGGTCCGCTCCTCCGCTGGCAAGGGGCCTGGGGTTCTGGCTAACCGCTCGCTGTGTGCATCCCTCTCCCAGACCACACACCCACGCGCAGGCTGCCCATATTGCTAGAGGCAGAGGACACCATATTCTGTCAGCACAGTTTCCTCCTTCAGCATCATCACTGTTGCGGGGAGGGGGAGAGGGAGCTCGGGGTTGTGAGGTGTGGAAGACACGAACGTATGACTGCATCAGCATCCCCATTGCTGTATCCCTCACGCCTCCTCACCATTGCCATGGCAACCTCCTATTGATGGTGTATTTATAGAGGAGGAAAACACTGTTCGGTGAAGGAGGGAGGGGACCCAATCGGGTGGGCGGTGAGGCCAGGTTCTGGGTTTGGGTTCCTTCGCTTGTTTGTCATCCTTAAGCAGAACAAAAAATTAACTCTTCAGTGTTCTCTGAGGTGGAGTGTTTTGTGTTCCAGATGCTGTGTTTTGTATGGGTGCCTGTAATGCTGCTGTGTTTAGAAATGTGAAATACATGCCTGGAATAGAAATGCATTTCTATGTAATCCAAGTCCCCTGCTGCTATGATACCCCCACAACAATCGTGTGTAGTATAGACACAGATATTCAAGTTCAAATCCACCAGGTTGTTTGTTCCATTGGATTAAATAGCCGTACTCCTTCATGCTTGGTGTACGCGCCCCTTCCTCACATGACCTGCATCCCATCTGCTGGCCGCTTGCAAGTATTGCTGGCCCTGCCCCATGCTTCTAATGAAGCTTCAGATATAAATTCTTCTTAAAATGAGCTTTCTTCCCTGCACAGATGCATT